GGGAGGGTATATTAAATGGAATGACCCATTTTCGACCGTGCTACTTCCATGCTGTCGCTAACAAATTGCAAACTTCTTTGAGCAAAATTGCGTTCTTCCCCGTCTAGCGTTAGCCAAATTCTACGACAATCTAAAAAAATTTTGATACGAAACCACACTAAAACTTGTAAGTGGGCCTTTTTTCCCATCAAAATGAATTAAACATGAATCAGAAGACGCCATGTTTACAAATGCTAAGCTGGAAACTTCATGTAAGAACAAGCGTGAGCCCGCGATTATCGTCATTTATAGTGTTTATTACACCAAGTATCCCGAACAAAATTGGCGGCGATCGATTGCGAAAGATGCCGATTTCTTCAATTTTCGAAGAAGAAATACTCGAAAACTGCAGGTTTTGGGAAGTGCAAACAAGCGGATTTGGACTTTGTATAATTTATCCTAATTATTTATCTTGTTTCAAAGTAGTGCCCGAACCCGGGCAACGGAACTGAACGATATCGTGCAACAGAATCGGGCCTAAAAGAGATTTAAAGAGAAAATGGAATGGCTGAAATCAGTTGGTCTTTGTTTCCGTTGTCTTTCTGAAATGTACCGAGTGTATCAGTACTACTCGTCATCTCGTTATACTACACAAAAAAAAGGGGCTCAAAGAGAAAGAGGATAAATAAGTGAATGAAAAAGTCAAGTCGAAGTGCACCTCCGTATGTCGAGGAAATACTGGAGGACTGTCCTGTGGCAAAATAGTGTTGGTTGATGTCTTTACCGAGGACAACCCAAACGCAGTTCACAGAGGGTATGCAATTGTTGATGAACAAAACAACGCATCCATGATTACGCCCAACCTTGCTGATCTACTGGAAGTAGATACGCCTAAAGAAAAATAACTGCTTTCCACCTGTAGCAGCGCCAAAGAGATGAAATATGGTCGTAGAGTGTCAGGAATAATGGTCAAGTCAAGAGATAGTAGACTATTGAATTTCTGTCCATCTCTTTGGTAATGGTCCCAGCCCGGCAATAGCAACTTTCGGAATGAGAAAAACAGCCGAAGACGGCGATGAGGGCTATGGGTCAAAGGTGAAGTATTTTATATGCAAAGATTTCCACGTGGATGATGGATTGACGTCCTTATCGACGGAAGAAGAAGTAGTCGACCTGGTACAGAAAGCACAAGCGTGTCTAAAAACAGCCAATCTATATCTTCATAAAGTGACGTCAAACTCAGCGTTGGTGATGGAAGCCTTTCCTCCGGAAGACGTGCGAAAGAGATAAAAGACCTTGATCTCCGCCAAGACGTTCTACCAATACAACGTGCCCTAGGAGTCCAATGGAATTTAGAGAACGATCAGTTGACATTTAACGTATCAATTCCCGAGAAACCACTAACACGTAGAGGAGTTTTCTCCATAGTGAACTCACTGTATGATCCCCTAGGACTGATGGCTCCAGTCATACTCGTCGGCAAACTACTACTGCAGAAGCTGCTCATCCTCGGAAAAGAAAAAGTGAACGATCAACCTTTTAAATGGTATGATCCTATCCCTTCAGATTTGAACACCAGTGAAATTGCTAGAAGAACCAACTCACAAGCATGGAGAACGTATCTGCCAACCGATGCTATCACCCTAAAAACTTTGGTGCAGTAGTGGTACGAAACGAAATCCATGCATTTTCTGATGCAAGTAAAGAAGCTGTTGGAGTAGCAGCGTATCTGAAGCAACTCAACCAGAAGGGCGAAGTGAGTGTTAGTTTGGTATTTGGTCAAGCAAAAGTTGCACCAATCCGACCGACAAGCATTCCTCGGCTCGAGCTGTGTGCAGCTGTATTATCTACGAAGGCTGTGAAGAAGTTACGAACGGAACTTGATTTAAAGATAGATAATGTTAAGTTCTATACAGACTCCAAAGTCGTCCTAGGATATATCACCAAAGATGCATGTAGATTCCGCGTATATGTCGCCAACCGAGTCCAGATAATCAGTGATACAACCAAGCCTCAACAATCGAACTACGTTGACACGTCTACAAACCCAGCAGAATTAGCAACTCGTATCTATTGACGAGGCGGCGTCGCCAATAATAGACGACATCACTATTAACGAAAACGATCCCGAAGTTAAAGTCAACTTGTATGTGACCAGTTCAACACGAGAAACGAGTCTGAAGTCAATACGGTTCGAACGCTTCTCGGATTGGCTAAAACTTCAGCGCGCGGTAGCCTGTCTCATCGCCAAGATAAGAGACCGGAAAACAAGCAAAGACTACGAAACCTTGATGATGGTCAAAGCGTTGAGAACGAACACCGACACCCGACATCGAAAGATTCTAACGAAAGTGCGAAAATAGCAATCATAAAAGCGGTGCAAAACGAAGTCTTCGCAAATGACATTAGTGTGCTAAAAAGAGTAAACAAGGAGACGGAAAATCGTGATCAACTGAAAGAACAACGAAGGACACTCCTTAAATCTAATCTCGCAGAATTAGATCCGTTCCTAGATCAGGATGGGGTTCTCTGAGTCAGTGGACGTCTTAATCGATCGAGTCTAACATTGGAAGAGAAACATCCAATCCTGCTGCCGAAGAAGCATCATGTGTCGCAGCTCATAATCCGTCACTACCACGAAAAGGTTATCCACAATCAAGGGCGACAAATCACACATGGAGCAGTCCGTCAAGCTGGTTTCTGGGTCATCAATGGTCACAAAGAAGTGTCAAGAATGGTCAACGTATGTGTCACTTGCAAAAAGCTTAGAGGATGGACACTCACCCAACACATAGCCGACCTTCCTGTCGATCGAATGGAGACCCATCCACCTTTTACCAACGTTGGTTTGGACGTTTTTGGCCCGTGGCAGTTTCAAGTCAAGAAGCTCAGAGGAAGAGATACAAATGCCAAACGATGGAGCTTAGTGTTTACCTGTCTCAGTAGCAGAGGCATCCACATCGAGATACTGCACTCAATGGACGCGAATTCCTTTATTTGTGCGTTAAGCCTGTTTTCCACTGGCGAATTTCTTCGCGCGAAACGAATTTTCTATTGTTTAAATTGAAAAGAATCGATTAAAAATCTAATTAGTTCCAGCCGAGAGCTCATAATACAAAAGATTCGCGCGAACAAATTCGCCAGTGGAAAACAGGCTTTACGACGCTTCTTTTCTATTCGTGGCCAGGCCGCCCTTCTAAGAAGCGATTTCGGTACAAATTTCGTGGGGGCAAAGTCCGAACTCAACGGCGCACTCAACGAAATGGATGCAGAGAAAGTGAAGAAATACGTTGCAGAGCAAGGGTGCGAATGGAAATTAAATCCTCCACACGCCTCACATTTCGGCGGTGTGTGGGAACGACAAATAGGAACAATTCGTAGAGTGCTAGAGGCAATGTTGTTAAAGATCGGAGCTACTCAATTCGACGACGAGTTGCTTCTTACGTTGATGGCCGAAGTTACAACTGCTGTAAACAGTCGTCCAATCGCCACAGTGTCAGCCGACATTGATGAACCGGTTCCCTTATCACCATCAATGCTTCTTACCATGAAACAGAAGCTACTTCTTGCACCACCAGGCGTGTTTGTCAGGAAATATTTGTATGCTAGAAAGCGCTGGAGAAGAGTCCAATATCTTGAACTCAGCCGTGGTGAGTAGTTTAAGAATATTATCAAGGTGGCTCCCTAGGGTTTTTTAATTTACTACACTATAGTGTTCATGAGACTCCTGTTTCTTCACTTTACATGACATGAAGACGAAATTTATTGGACACATTGACAATGTTCTCCTGAACATTGGATATTGCTACTTTTGTGTTAAAAATCAGTTGTCATGGCAACAGCATGCTTAGAATAAAGCTCAAAATTTGTCTTTTTCAGGTCATTTAAAACTTTGCATAAAGATAATACTTGTATAATGATTTTCGCCCTCATTTAAAAAAAAAATTAAATCGATACGTTTCTTAGAAAATTTAAAAAACGTCAAAATCAATATTAAAAATTTTCCCTTCGATTTAATTTTAAGAAAAAAGGATACTGCACTTGTTGTGCCGATATTAAAAAATGTGCAAAGTTTTAAAAAATTTCACCGAAGGAAAAGGGTGAAATTTGGGTTTAATTTTGGCAATTTTTACTAGATTTTGACGCAAACAATTTAATACCACAACTAACATGTATATGCATTTTGTATAAAACAACAAGGCATGACTTTTTTGAAATCACAAAATATAAATTATGTTTGATATACTGTTTATAACTGTGTCGGTTAATGGTCAACTAAGCGTGGATTATACATGTAAAATTGGCAAAGATATTTAGGTAATTACTGGTTATGACTTCTTGATATTAATTTGAAATATGTTTGTCAAAATTCGTCCCGTGCGAGTTAGTGCTATCGTCGGATGTTTTCGCAAAATGCCCGTTCAAATTTCAGTTTTTATAGTGGTATGTTTGGAGTTTCGCCCCTGCTCATTTCACCAGTAGAGGGCTCATTATTTAAGTCATCTTTATTGTCATAAGTGCTGCTAGATTGTGGAGAAAACACTGCAAATTCTTGAGGAAACATTATATCATTTCCAGTGGCGTAGCTAGCGAAATTTGACTAGTCCTGCTCTAAGACCCACCCATTCTAGGGGGGTCCGGGGGTATGCTCCCTTAGAAGTCTGGAATGGCCATTTCCTGCGATTTCACGGCGAAATACTCCAAAGGGAACATAAAAAATTGCGTGATTAGAGGAAAATTTTTGATAATTTTTTTAGAAAAAAAATTTGCAACTTTTTGAAATCCATGCATTTTTTTATCATATTTCACTATATAATTTTCAAATTAACTGAAAATATAATGTAGCTAAATATGGTCAAGTCACGAAAGAGGAAAATATCATTTATACCATACGCGTCTGTAATATGATCTTTCACTTGATCAACACATAATCCAACCTCACATAATCAACAATTGCGCCACTATTATACTGTTGAACACGGCGTTTTATACACTTATATTAAAAACGCTACGGCTAGCATTCGTTAAAAATTCACTACATTTGTTAGTAATGTGTTAAACTTTATATAATGGAGTGGTATCAACTACAGATCACTACGCCTGGCACTCTGAATGTAATTCAGTACGCTATGCATATCGTCTATGCGGCCAAATATCTACATAAACAGTACGAATTGGTACAATAATATATCATTTTTAAAATTAAACTCCATATAAGTGCTCGTGTCAAATGCACAAAGCAGATGAACTGGCAGTAAATATTACGTTCTTACTTTATATCAATACGACATTACGACGTACAGGCTTCACAAATGAAGTTTGTATTCTCCATTATATTGTATTATAAAAATACACAATCATCAGTCGAGTCTGTTCACATGCATTTCGTGAGCTAATATCATAGCAGAAGCCAGAAATTAGATCAAAATCACATTGGGCTTCCACACTCGTTGATTTCCATATTCATAACTTTAGTAATCTCGACAGAATTAGTAAAAAGTGGGTTTAGTCACGCGGAAAGCTCGCAAGTAAAGACAATACAAGGCCAAGTCCTGCCATTTCGAGAGAGCAGGACTTCGCATTTGTAAACAGTCGGTTTGAGCATGCGCAGACCTAATTATCCAATCAGAAACCAAGATTTCTTGTATGGATTTACTATGGAATATACTAGCAAGTCCTGCCATTTGAAAATGGCAGGACAAGCTATAAAATTGCGTAAATATAACATAATGCGAAAAACATTTTAAAAAATAATAACGAAAAAGACGAGAAAATGAGACAAAAATAACAATATGATAATGATAAATTTTTAAAGCTTCAAGATAAATAAAACAATGTTTTAGTAAGGAAATTTTGGGAAATTTTTAGTCCTGCTGGGCAGGACAAGAAGGACCACTAGCTACGCCACTGATCATTTCCCAATGTTCGCGATCGAACCTCGCGTACGGCGCCACGGCGGTTCAAAAAACTTCCAGAATACCGCTTGAAAAAAAAACAAGTTTACATTATCTTCTTTTGAAACATCACATCCAAGTATCGTTTTGGCTTTTAGAACTCTTTTTATGCTTTCAACTAAAGCAAAGTTCACACTTTCGTTTCAAAAAAGAGTTCCATATAAAACACAACGTTCGTTCGTATTTTGAAGTGGTCACACGTACGAGTTTTAGTTTACATATATACGAAGAACGTAACCTTCGGGAGCCACCTTAAGCGAAGAACTGGGCCCCCCTCCACCTTGGTTATTCCAAGCATTAATGACAGCCTGGTTATCTACCTGAGCATTCACCCAAGCATTACGGAACATGTCCCCGCATGCTCGTAACAACTGGTTAATAGCCATAGCTTCCTTACTAGCGATATTCCAAGTAGACTGATCTGTATCCCAGTAATCAGAAATCTCTTGCGTAATCGGAGAGAGAATAGAACTAGCCCAACCTGAAGCAGATGCATCTGTCGCCACAGAGACCCGGAAATGGCGTTCATCCCGCCATGGGATAGGATGTTTTTTCGATGCACCCGTTATAGTTATAAGCCGATGTGAGCGAGCCGCTGCAGAGATTGCCGAATGCATTTCCCTAGTAAAAAGGAGGGCAGCAGGAACACTTGGAGAAAATGCAATACATTTTCCAGCCAAACGTTGAAGCGTTTTAACACCAATCTTTGCCTTGGTAAGAATATCTCTGACAAGTTCAAGGAAACGGAACCGCGTCTCGAGGATCAAGTTTTTCAAAACTTGTCGGATCGAATTGGAAAGATAACCTAAATAAGGAACCACTTTTACGGGAACCAGAATCGATTTCGATAACCACAAAAAAATATCCAAGACGAGATAAATAAAAGGCAACGAGGAACACCGCAGATTCAGCAGCTGCAAATCTCCGTTCATCTTGGGTCTGCAAACTTGCGTATTCCCCGGCGGCTAGCGTGGTTTGAAGCTGACCATTATGACTATCATCGATCTACAGAGAACACGGAATACTAATCGATCGAAAGAAATGTGTTGGTAATAAACCAGTGGTGTGATACACAAACGGCGAAATCTTCCACCCAAAGGGCAAAGTATTGTAGGTAAAATACCAACCTCCCCACTGGAAACCGACGAACGTACGACTATCCTCATAAATATGGTCGTAACCAACCTCGTACCCAGGATCTTTCTTTGGGAAAGACCCTGGCTGCGGCTGGTCACGTGCCTCATCAAAAATTTAGCCTGAGGGTGTGTGGGGGAAAGTATCAAATTACATAAACATGCTTCCAGTGGAATATTCGTTAAAAACATAAATTTTGCGAATTATTACGTTCAAAATACTTGCTAATTTTTGTTTATTTTCTTTGCTTTGAATTTACAAGAACATTCTTACATTCTTACTTACAGTCAAGTCAAGAAACAAAGCAAATCGTTACTCGCAGTATGTGCTCTCTCGTCTTGTTATTCAATGCATGCTCTCTTCACAATCGAGCGCGGTTATAACAAACCTTTTAATATTGTAATGTTTTTAAAATACGCCATTACATTCGTCCTTTCTTGTAAACGTTGATACGCTTTGTACCGATTCACTTGTTACTACGCATCTTGTTTATAAGATTTTTAAAAGAAACAGCATTGTTTAGGACTGACCTAATATTAGCAAATGTAAACATTTGATAATAGCCGAGCAGAGAAATGTCTATAAGTATAGAGGAAATTTCAGTAATTGGATTATCTGGATTTAGTACATAATTCGTATTCGGTAATTATAGTAAGACTTTAGCCTTTATTTGGTCTCTATTAATCATTATATTGTGTTAACATACTATAATCTATATCACAAATTTACAGTGTCAGATGCGCACAGACCGTCATTGGCATCATACGAATACTAGGCATTGGCATCATACGAATACTAGGCATTGGCATCATACGAATACTAATCTAGCCTACTTTTACTAACATTTTTAAAGTTTTCATTGTGAATCTCCTGTTTATCTCTAATTCATTAATCATTTACTACTTATATTTACTTGATAGTGTCATATACTGAATAATGCGTTTACACACAAGCAATCCTGGATATGATATAGACGATGCAAGCTGTCCATTAAAAAATAACGGTATTCTATTTCACAAAGTCAAAGCAAAAATTTAAATCTCACTTGTATTATTAAGAATGCATATACAGCAAAAAATTAAAGCTTATTCATGTCAAAACGAAAGCTGTTTACAAAATTTATAAAGGTGGTGAACACTACTAAACAGTGCTCATTGAAAGACATGTATATATAATATAGTGACATATAATTTGTCGTTTGACTTATCTTTGATGTATGATTTTAATACCGTAGATTTTCAACAGACAGCTATAGTACTTTGACATATACCATGATCGTTGGTTTCAGCAATGCCAAGGGCCAATTTTATAGTGTTTTGACGGGCTTTAAGTTTTTTTGATAAGGCCTTTATATAGATCAGCAATCTGGATATACAGTTGGCAATATTTCGGAAATCAAAAGATCTCGCTATTTCGTTGCAATTCCACATCTCATCAATAAATAAATTCTTTTGGTCCGAGTATCAAGATAGTCATTAATACTAAATAAATAACAACCACACTGTTCGGTCTAGAGATCTATATTTTCTTGTAGGTTTAATATCGCCACGCTGCACAAGCGGCAAGCGTGATTTCTTTGGCAAATGACGCAAATCTATAAGTTGAATATTGAAATCTGATCAAACTTGCTTCAATTGTAACTTGACACCAGATTATAGAGTAGAGCGTCACGATATAAATATTAATTTAAGAGTTCTCTTTACGATTTCTTGTTGCAAATTTACAGTAAATTTCATCACCCAAAGTTGCAATTTTAAAACGCTACAAACACGCTCCTTTCCCACCCCTCTCACAGTTACAATTAAATTTACCTCCCAGAATCTGGGAGGCACGTGACCAGCCGCAGCCAGGGTCTCTCCCAGATGACAGAAGAACAGACCCTGGGAACGAGGTTGGGTCGTAACCCGACTTATCATCCAAGACCGTTTGATACGAATCGGGAGAGACATATCGCGGAAGATCACCAAGACAAAAAAATCAAACATGCACAATAGGGGATCCCAAGTCAGCAGGGAAGTGAGCGCCTTGACCCAGTAAACTGGGAGGATTTGATTTAGTTACCCGTTTTCAAGGCAATCACAACACCGCGACTGGAGGACTATATATATCTATATATATATATATATATATATATATATATATATATATATATATATATATATATATATATATATATATATATATATATATATATATATATTAGAGAAGGAAACAAACAATAAAAGGAACAACAGAAAAACAAAAGAGATTATAACAAAATTCATTTCATAAATTTGACAGCAAATTCAAGCATAAATTTACGTTCAGAATTATTTTCCGTAGTTATCAGTAACATTAGTTAATGCATCCAGAAATCTATAGAGATGGAAGCACACTAGAATTGAAATCCAACCGTATAGTTAGACCACGCTAATATAACTTATTGAGACTGTGCATTGTTCGGTTGGAAAAGTGGCCTCGCGTTGCAGGAGACCTGTCCATCTCCAAGACAATGAGACTGAAAATGGCTAATTTTATTACAATAGAAGCAACGGGCATGCGTCCACGAAGGTGTGCCACCACGACCGCGAGGCGAATATCTCGACCTCCGTGGAACATGTTGAGGTCGCTGTCGCATAAAATGCTTTTCTACCTTAGAAACAATCTCCAAGACCCGTAACGCAGTAAAAGGGCACGAAATTGAACAGGTGGGATCTCCATTTTCTCTCTTGTAGTCTGGTACTTGTACAACTCTGTAATAACGCTCCTTAGGGTGTTTACGGTCGTGGGCCGCATTCTGTAACTCCTCAGTCATCTCTAAGGCTTCATATTTATTGAACTCGGTCAATGGGCTGGCCATAAAATTTAGGAGACGATGAAGGATACTTTCAACAGACGCCTTTGTCAGGATATCTAAAGCTTTTTGAAGAGTTTTCACCTCTCCTTTTAAATTCTAAAAGGAAAATATTATCACCAGGATAAGAAACCCATATCAAAACACCAATAAGCAGCATATATATGGTAGAGAAAATGTCACCCCTTCGACAGAATTGCAAAGAAAAATCGCCCTTCGCTCTATAAAGTGATGAAAACTCGGTTCACATATTACTAGAAAATACATGCATGCAGAAACCCTCGCCTTGCTGTCAAAACCATTGTATTTTCCGAACATGAAGTATCTAGAGTAGTTGTCATGGTAACACGATAATTTTTTAAGAATATTCCTACAAATCGCCTAAAAATATCACTTTTAATTACAAAAGTATCAATTTCCCAACATATATATATATATATGTTAGATATGTTATTGTACGTAATATAAGCTTCAATTTAACCTTCAATTTAATTTTTTACCTTCAATTTCAAGGTAAAATTCAACCGGCCACAAACGCTTCACAAAATGTTTTAATTAAAATGTTCTTTATAACACTAAACTGCCTTTAATTAAATGGCTTTATCGATAAACTTTGAGTTTGCAATAAAATGATTTCAAATTCTCGCTTACAAATAACTTTGCTTTCTTTTTTATTTAAAAAATTCAATATAATAAAAAAGGGAAACAATATTAAAGATATACTGCAATTAATATATGCTGTCTTGTTTAATGGTTTCATATACGCAAAGCCCGTCGGGTTTTAAATCCATTATAAAATCAATATTTAAAACAAACTTACCTTCGTTAACGTCGGCTCCCTTCTTTTAGCCGATTCTTTCGCCCTTTCTTTATGAGAAAACTTTTGAAATTTACAAAATCTTGCAAAAATGCGAGCAAAAAATTCATCAATCATCAAATCAAGAAATATTTGCTATTTTGCTGTCGTCATGCAGTCGTTATAATGCAAACTTTAAACTGGACCAATCAGTGTCCGCTATTCATGACAGTCCGCCATATTTCTGAGATCAGTGAGGATGACCACCCATGAACGATGAACGGTGAGCCATGCGCCCGCGTTATTTGATGAACTTTAGACTTCCCTATAATGCTTTCGTTTCCCCGGGTGTAAATAGCCGGGGGGAATTAGTACCCTCGCACGGCGCTTCGCGCCGTCGGCTCGGGGATAATCTAGTGAATATTCACCCTGTATTATCCTGACAAAAACTCACCCTGCATTAGGCCAGTAAAAACTCACCCTGCATTACAATCTGATGAACATTCACCCGTTGTTGTCTCGGTGAAAACTCAACCTATATACCAAGCGAGTGAAATTAAACTCACCTTGTACTACAAATCTTGTGAAAACTTATTCTGTATTACAATCTGGTGAAAACTCACCCTGTACTACAAATCTGGTGAAAACTCGCCCAGTGTTATCCCGGTGAAAACTCACGCTTTATTACAATCTGGTGACAACTCACCCTATATTACAATCTGGTGAAAACTCACCCTGTACTACAATACTGGTGAAAACTCACCCTGTATCATCCCGGTGAAAACTCACCCTGTATTATATCGGTGAAAACTCACCCTGTATTACAATCTGGTGAAAACGCACGCCGTATAATCGGTAATGATGCCCTATAAGTTGGAACAAACGCACTCTGCATGCATTACAATCAAATAACTCATGCATAATCACGCATTATATGTGAATACGAAATAGCCTGAGACAATGGTATAGTGAATTGCGCTCTAAACGCATGGACAACAATAGTTTACAACTGCCCATGCCTGAAAGTTACTGAAGCATATAATAAACTCCATTGCACAATCAAAGTTTACACTCAATATCGTTATCGTATGCCCCGAGTTATACATATAGCATAAAGAATAACAATAAGAATAAAAGACTAACAGATATATAAATCAGAAAAAGCAAAGTAAACATTAGCAATCCTACGGGCACACTAGACGATCAAAATGTGCCACGGAAACTAATTAGATGGAAGTCTTTTAGAAATACAAACTAAGCGTATAATGCACTTGCAAAGCAGGGCGCGATATCATGTTATTTGAAGACAGACGAAACAGTGAATCGACATTACACGCGAGTACACAGAACAAAACCATGCCACATACCTCCAAATCGCCAGGAGCTGCAACCGGCGGTTCACGTTGCTGCTGAGGTTCACGTTGCTGCCGAGATCGTATAAGTGAAGTCAACAAAAAGATTGACGCAATGAAATCTGAATTGCGCAAAGAAATAGAGCCATTAAAGACCAACTTAAAAAGTCTCAATAGGAAAGTCGAAGAAGTAGAGAAATCTCAGGAGTTCATGTCAAAGAAATATGACTCGATTTTGACAACAATAAGCGAAGTTAAAAAAACGTCACTCGGCCTCGAACGACAAGCAAAGGAAATGGAAGGCAAAGATTACAAACTAAATGACAACGGCTACAACTTGGAGCTGCGTCTAGACGAACTTGAGCAGTATGGTAGAAGAGATTGCCTTGAGATCACTGGCATACCAGCGGCAGTAAAGGAAAACCCAACGAAACTCGTTAAAGAATTGTCTGAGGTAATTGGAGTGGATCTCGCTGAGAGTGACATTTTCAATTGCGCATCGTTTACCTTCGACAAGAAAAGTCAAAGATCAACTTATAGTTAAATTCAACCGTCGAGTAAAGAAACAGGAAATATATGCGAGTAGGAAAAAGCTAAAATCAAAGCGCGCAAAAGATCTGCCATCAATCACGGGTAACCCAATATTTCAATCGGTGATGTCAAACACGCGAATCCATATTAATGAGTCTTTGACACCATACAGGAAACGTCTGTTCGGTCGCATCCTCGAGTTCAAACAAGAATCCAAATTTAAGTATTTATGGACGGTGAATGGAAAGATTATGCTACGCGAAACTGATGACTCGCCTACATTAAGTTTTGTGAGTCATGAGCAATTCGACGACTATCTTGACGGAAGAAATTAAACTAACATTCATGAATTAATATAACTCAAAATTGAACACTTTAATGTTTACTATATTATCCATTGATGGCTATCGAAACAAACACAGTAAGTAATCTTCCGTTTTACTCGTTGTCGGATAAAGAATTTAGAGCATTGTTTGGAAGCTGGTCTGGAAGGAAAATAACGATTTTGATTTATACGATTTGTTTTTAAACCCTGATAAATCAGATGAATCTGATCCTGATCATATGCTATATAATCCCTGCTCTGAATATTTCTCAATTGACAAACTTAAAAAAACATTAGAAACTATGCCAAATTCTCTTTCAATCCTACACTGTAATATAAGAAGTTTATCAAAAAATTTAAACGTTTTAGAAGATATCTTATACTCCCTAGAGCATGCACCAAACGTACTAGGAATTACTGAAACAAAATTACATGTAGAAACATGTTCCAATGTAGATATCAAGAATTATAATTTCTTTCATACTGACTCAAAAACAAAGGCAGGTGGTGGTGCCGCACTATATATTGCCAATAACTTGAAATCTATACCTAGACCTGACATAAAATTTTCAATAGAAAAAGTTGAATCATGTTGGGCCCAAATTGATGCTGGAAAAAATAAAAAAGGGATAATCATAGGCTGCATTTATAAACACCCTGGTTGTAATCTTAACTCGTTCAATATAGAATTAAACAAAATTATTAAAAGAATTAATCCTGATAAATTTTATCTTTACATTTGTGGTGACATGAAATGTAATGAACATGGGGAAACCGAAAAGTATTTAGATATGCTTCTTGACAACAGTCTTATTCCTATCATAACAAAACCAACTAGAATAACTGATCATTCTTCGACATTAATAGATCATATCTATACTAACTTGCCCATATCAAAACTAACACCGGGAATCAGGGGCGGATCTAGGAATTTTCGTACGTTAGTCAAATTTTTTCCGAGTTGCTGCCATCCGGGGGGGAGTGGGGGTTTTACTTTCCGTCTGTGGGGGTTGTAGCATTATAAGTTAATTATTCGTTGTTCGCCCGACAGCCGACGCGATTGTATTGTCACGATACTGTAGTGTCGCGCGATTGTCTGGAATTTTGTTTTACACATCGGCATGTTCTTTTAATAAATAAATTTTTGATCCTCCTGTCAACAAAACGTCATATTATATAACAGACGAATTGTCGGAAACTGTTATTAGTCAATATATTTAGTATAAAATAATGTTTTGTTCACACGTGGGACGCGCGAGTCAGAACAGTAATGAATGGGAAAGTTACAGAATACACTGCATGGTTGTTGCTATTGTATAGTGATTAGTGGGAGGTTTTTTAGTGAGAGATTTTGCGAAATTAGGATAGTTCGTAGCGTCGAATAAAAGCTAAAAGAAACTATTGTGTTGAGGATTATTTCGGGGGCAATTCTCAACAAGATTTCACACGAACAATCACAAAACTGCTTACTTCTAGATATCGTATTACAACACAGCATAACACTGACCATGCAATCTCAAAATCTCCAGATTCTGTCGCTACTAATACATCAATTAAATATTGCCCGATACAAATATAAACGAACACAAAAGCGGTTTGTACTTTATAGCTTTAACTATGGTTATACACAGTTAATTTAAGCAGCCAAACCGCTTTCATATCTTATTACCGCCGTCAATAAGCACACTTTAAGCAGGTTTTAAAGCTTACTTAGCTATAGTACCAGAGTATGAACTAAAATATAAATATAATCTCCTAACCTTATCGCTGTACATTTCTATTGTGGTGGACGAGACCGAATTGAAATCTCTAGCGCGACTGGTTCTGGTGATATAGTTGTGGATAGACTTGGTATGAATAGCAGCTAATTTAAGCTCTTCGATATATCGATCTTGACGATCTTGTATTAAAGTATTGATATGCTTTAAAAGATCTGTGTTCACCATTTCTAGACTGGACAGTCTCGTATAAACTTTATATTGCGGGAACCACTGAGTATTATTACACATACATTTTATATTGTCGTCGTACTCGTACGTCAATTTAATCTTCGCGGTGAATAAACTTTCCGAATGAGTCAGATGAGGCAAAAAGTATGAGCCAATGAGAGAAGAGAATTTGGTCTTTTTCGACCAATCAGAACTTCATATATTGCGCAAATAAGGCAGACCCCCACGAAGATGAGGCAAAAAAGTTGAACCAATGACAGGAGAATTCTCCTTCAATCAGCCAATCAGATACCTCAGATGACGTAAATAAGGCAGACCCCCACGAAGATGAGGCAAAACCATTCTCGACCAATCAAATGGCTAGAATCTGCCTCAAGTAAGTCAAGGCCACTGAGCTTACAACCGCTGAATGAAACTTGATAACTGGACTATTGTGAATATTAATTACACTTGCTATCACTGCAGGAAGGATTAAAACTGGAGTACTGGACACTTTTATGAATCAGTAATTATCTGCGCAATTTTTACGTTAGTCGCGCGACTTATTTGACAACCCCTAGATCCGCCCCTGCCGGGAATCCTCGAGGTAGATATATCTGATCACCTTCCAGTATTTTGCATTGTTAAAACTCAAGTAGATAAAAGTACCAACAAAAGAAAATTCAGAGACTTTCGCAATTTTAACAAACAGCGTTTCTTAGATGATATAAAACAGATAAGCTGGGACGAAATTCTTACACCTAATAAAAGCTTAGATAAAAAGACACAAGATGCTATATCTACTCTAAATAAAATTGTAGATAACCATGCCCCAGTAAAAACCGTGACACAAGCCAAACAAAAGCAATTAAACAAACCCTGGCTTACAGCCGGTATTTTCAAATCAATTATAAAAAAACAAAAAATGTATCGCACACATTTTTTGGGTAAAATTCCACACAAAATTAATGAATATAAAAGATATGCAAATATGTTAACATTTATCAAACAGAAAAGTAAAAAAGATTATTATCAATCCCAATTCACAAAATACACAAAAATAATCTTAAAATAACTTGGAAAATAATTGGCAATCTTATAAAACGAAAGAGCAAAAACCAAATTTCACCGACAAGAATTGTGCATGATGGAAAGACTCGTACGAATCAAAACGATATTGCAGAGTTATTCAACAATTATTTTATAAATGTTGGTTCAAACTTATCGAAAAAATTTCCTACGAATCAAGCAAGTTCTACGCAATATTTAAATATTTCACCACCAAATAGTTTTTATTTAACTCTTTTTCGTCCGGTGCCAATTAGACCACGACTGGACCGTCCTGGTTCTTCGGAGATTTATATCTTTGGTTCAGTGCATGCTATGTTGATGAAAATAACACTGTTCGATTCAGTAGGAAATTTCCTATCGATAGAGTTAGTAAAATGTCAATATTTTAGCGATTTACGACCTTTAGAGGTCAAGCGACTTCATATTTCATTATATTACACAATAATCCCGAAATATGTAAACAATGTTTACTAAGGCATACCTTTCGCCGAACATAACTTCGGCCCCTTTCAAGATATCTTTTTCGTAATAGTCTTGTTCGATTCCCAATCAAAAACACTATTTAGAGTGTTATTTTCAAGCTTATATCTACAGATTTGCATCTTTTATTTTGGTATTTCAAAATATCCAAATTTTACGCGAGAGCTTCAACCGGAAATTCATATTAGATTTGCCAAAACATTGCGTGCTTACATCCCATCACTCGGGAAACGTCGGAAATCGATTCTAAAGGTCAAATTACCCCTACAGCGTGATTTGCACGTGCATGGGGCTACAGGAGCTCCTTATTGGACAATTTTATCATGAGACACGCGCGTGCGAGTAAAAACCCGATATATTGAAAAATTCAAAATAAATATTTCAAGTGGCCTTTATTCAAACGAAATTTTCTACATGAAAGCGCTTGAATACAAGGAGTATTTTACTTATATTGATATGAGGCGAATACCGAAGAGTTCAAGACATATTCAAGATTCTCTTGATATCAAATTCAAAATGCTTGGCCAAGCGGTGAGTAAAATATACGATTGTTTTGGTTTGTGTAA